TTGAAAAAAATGTGTCCCACTTCCTCCTGGCCTCCATGATTTCAGATGAGAAATCTGCTGCCACTAAAATTGGTGTTCCCCTACAGGTAATATGTTGGTTCTGTCTGGTTGCTTTTAATATGTTATTCTTTGTTTCTGGAAGTTTAATTATGATCTGTTTTAAAATGGATTTCTTTGGATTTATCCCATTTTGGCATTTGTTCAGTTTCCCAAAGCTGTATGTTTATGTCTTTCACTAAATTTGGAATATTTTCCGCCATTATTTTCTTGAATGTCTTTTCAGCCTACACTTTTTCTCCTCTCATCTTGGATTCTGATGACATGAATGCTTTCGTTATCTCAGATTCCTGAGATAACTTTTTTCCCAGTTGATTTTCAATTTGTTGTTCATATTAAGTAAATTTTATTGATGTGTCTTCAAGTTCAGTGCGTCTATCCTCTGTCATTGCACTACTATTGAGCCCATCCAGTCCAATTTTTGATTATTGTATTTTTCCATAATTTCCATTTGCTTCTTCTTTTTAAAAGTATATAATATCTATTTGTTTGCTGAGATTTTCTATCTTTTCATTTGTTTCAAGATAATTTGTAATTGCTTGTTGAAGCATTTTTGTGATGACTGCTTAAAAGTCCTCACTGCAAATTCCAATGTCTGATTCACTGTGTTGGTGTCAGTTGATGGTCTTTTCTTGTTCAAGAAGAGATTTTCCTGGAGTTTGGTACGATGGATGATTTTTTATTATATCCTTGACATTTTGTACATTATGTTAAAAGACTCTTGATCCTATTTAAATCTATTTTAGCAGGCAGTCAATCTACTAAGGCTTAGTGTATAGATTCTGGTTCACTTTTGTGGATTATAGTTTTAATGACAGTTTACCTAGTCTGCTTTGTTTGTGGTGTTACCTACAGGGGGAGAAGGTGCTTCCCTGGGTCATCTGTTGTCACTGGGGAGGCCAGGAGTTGCTGAGTCTGTTAAGCTCTCTGCCACTGGGTGGAGGGCCCAGAGACACAGGGCTCTTCTGACACTATTGCTGTGAGAGGCTTGGTCCACACTGCCCTATTGTGAAATGGGGTTAGGGGTTCCCCCACTGGGGCTGTCTTTCTGTTGAGAGTCCCCTTTCTTCCCAGCCCTTTGGCCATAGAGAACAGACTTTCTGTTGTTTTGTTTTTTTGTGTGTGTGTGCATGCTGTTGGCAGTTCTGTTGCAGGCCTCTTTGGCACCCAATATGGGATATGTAGGAGATAAAGGAAAATCTCAAGAACTCACTGCAGGGACATCTCTCAAGTTCTGACGTTCCTAACCAGTCTACTGTCTTCTTTCCAGCTTTCAGAGTCCTTTTATGGTTACCTGTTGAGATATTTCAGTATACTTAATTGCATTTAGAGGGAGGAGCAGGGAAAGTGAGTCTATGCCACCTTGTCTGTTGCGTGATTTTTAAAGTGAATCTTTATGGCTCACTTTGGAGAATGCTTTGTCAGGAGCAGGCTTGGACAGAGAGAGCAAGTGAGAGAGCAATTCCAAGATCCAGCTCCAAGGCAATGGGAGCTGGACTAGGGGACAGTTAGTGGTGATAGAGAGATGGGAAGAGATTTGAGAGTTATTCTGAAGCCAAACTTGGCAGAACTTGACCAATTACTGGATGCAGACAGTGAGGGAGAGAGGGGTCAAGAATGATGATATTTCTGGCTTGGATGATGGTACAGTTTCCTTGCAATGGAGGGAAATACAAGCGTTTAATTTTGGGGGAAGATTCTGTTTTGGATGCTCTGGGTCCAAGGTGCTCCAAATGGGTTAACCTGGGTGTTGTGTGTGTGTATGCATGTGTGTGCACATGCATTCATGCATATGTATGCTGAGTGCTTAACACATTCTGGACATATATGCCTGGTAAACATGTTCTCAATGAGGAACTAGAAGATCCAATGATGGTCCACTCCCTGGGGACTCCAGCAATGCTTGTCAGAATGTGGAAGGCTTCATGAGGTGGGAGGGGGGACAGGAATCAGTCAATTATTCTCTCAGTCTTGCACAGAACTAGCTGTTTTATGGCCACACTCTGCCTTCCCCACTTGGGGCCCCAGGGCTTGGGGCAAAGGCTAATAGGTAGCTTGTGTCTGCCAAATCAGTAGTAGCCCCAGACTCCATGGAGCTCCCTTAGTTCCCTTGGGTCTTGCCCAAGCCCTTAGTAGCCACTCCTCCTCCCATTCATTGCACATGACCCCTTTGGTGGAGGGCAAGACAAGGGCTGTTGCACATCACTGGCAGGCAGCTTCACTGTCTGTCTGTTGAGGATGGAGGAGGAGCACTGAGGGAATAGAAGAAAGTAGAGAGGGGTAGTGGATGTTCTGCTCTTCTCTCATTGAAGATAGAGGGAAAGGCAGGGTTGAGAGCTGAGGCCTTCTGCCCAGTGACCTGGTAGTGTGCATCTGCTGGATCAGTGGAGTAGAGATTATCACTCCCACCCACAGCCCACAACTGGTTAGGTTTTCCAAGATCCAACTCACTATCCTGTGAGCTGCACCTGGCCAGTATTTTTCCAGGTTGAAACTTTGATAACTATACCCCTTTGTGTGTGTGTGTGTGTTTATGTGGCACCACCAAGAAAGAAGCTTGAAGCTTTATATAATTTTGAAGTCCTTCTTTGAGTAAAAGAAGACAAAATCGTGAACACAAAATTAGGTACAAGGCCTTGGAAAGGAACAGTGCTAGCAAGGAGCCCTGAGATTTAAAATTTCATCAGCTTTTGGGTAAAATTGCCTTTGAGGTCGATGGTAAGTAAACACTCCTGCTTCTGATGCAGGATGCAAAGCTATGCTAGATCCACTTACTTGGAATAAAAGGCAGCTCTTGCTGGATTCTGAATGCCTTACTCTTCTCGGCCTGCAGGCCAGGAAGAGAGTAGCTATCACTTAGTGAAAGTTTTCATTGAATGGCAGACTTTATGCTACCTATCTTAGAGGTGAGGAAGCCAAGGGTCAGAGGGGATGTGTCTTGCCCAAGTTCACCCAGACTACTAAGAGAGTGAGCTGGCATTTGAATCCAGTGCTACGTGACTCCAAATTTATGGTTTTTCCACAGCCAAGCAAACTTTGTGGAATGAGTAAATTACTTAGTGAATTAGTAGTGCAAAAATGAGTGACTATAGCCTCAGTGAAAGAATGAATTAAGTGATGAGTGAATTAAGAGATTAAAAAAAAAAATGAAATAATGAACCCAAACATTTACTGAACATTTCTGGTGTGCCAGCTACTGTATTAAACATTAGAAGTTGGCAGAGAATAAGGCAGACATAGCTTTTGCTTTTAGGGAACTTATTGTCTAGTAGGGAATCCAGACACTGAATGCTAGGAAAGTGGGAGTGAACAGGGGACCTTAGGAATTTACAGGTGGACCTCATCTATCTAGGGGGTCAGGAAGGCCCTTGACATATGAACTGAAACCTGAAAGGGTGAAGTTTTAGGTGTTAAATGGAGAAGCGGGGTGAAGAAGGTGCTCAGTCTGTGGAAGGCCTAGACCTAACCTGAAGAGTCTGGCTCCTTTGAGAAACTCAGAGGCCTTGAGTGAGGAATGGAGAGGGGAAGGGAGTGTGGTGGGACAAGGAGGGTAAAAAGGTAGTATGGCTGGAGCCAGAGAAAGGAAGACTTTTTAGGTCCTGCCAAGGGTTAGAGACTCTATCCTGAAGACAATGGGTATCCATGCCAGGAGGATACCCATTAGGCAGAAGGGTGGCTGCCCTGAAGGCTGATGGGATAAGTGAACCCCCTCTTCTTGCCCTCCACTTCCTCAAGTATATAATGGGGCGATAATATCTAACATCCAGGACTCCATGTGTGTGCACGCACATGTATGCATGTGTAGGGAGATTTGATTAGAAGATGTGCCTGGTCACTAGACTGCACAGTAAGTGCTCAAAAAGCCAACTCCCTACTCTCTTCTCCTGAGTTGGTCTCCTGTATCTCCTCCCAGGAACCCATACCTGCTTAAGAACACCATGCATGCAGGTGAGCTATACCCACAGTTCCCACAGGGAGGGTGGCTCAGGTGTTGGGGATGGGGTTGGGTGAAGGGATTGAAGAGTTTACCCAGCAGTCAGATTGCTGAGTTGAGGCAGGCTCCATTTTTTATGATTGTCCCAGGTTCTCCATATAGTCTGCCTCACCCAGCATAGGCCAAATATGAAGGGCTGTGGGCAGCTCTGCTAATACTGCTCTGGAAACCTAGCACCATGGCTATTTGAAGACGAATTCTAGACACTTAAGGGGTTGTCTCTGGTTAGGAGAATCCTAGTTTCTTGAGGTGCAGTCGTCCTTGTTGGTGACTGTCAGTTTCTAAGTTATGTGTCTGGTTAGCAGCAGAGTTACCCGTTAGAAGGCTCATTTTTCCTTTTTCTCACCTTAAGGTACAAGTGGTTCCTCATTTCCTCTAGTTTTTGTAGACTTTCTACTGTGTATGTGGCATTGTACTAGGTGCTGGAGATGCTGCAGGGACCAGGATATGTACAGATATTGTCATCATGGAGCTCGTCTCTTACAGGGGCTAGACCACCAAATGAGTCACTGGGATAAAGTGTGAATGTTTTGCTTGGAGGAGGAGGATTGGCAAAGGACAATGTGGAGAGGTCCAGGCCAAGTGAATTTGTGATGACTTTGATCTGAAAAGGAATAAAGAGTGGTCAAAGATAGGGAATGGGATGTGGTCAAAGAATTGAAACACTTGTAGAAAGCAAGGGCGAGAGCTATGTATGATGGGAGTGGAAAAGCAGGCTGGGCATGGTTATCCAGGACGTTGTAAACCACAAAGGCTGTCATTCTAAGGGGATTCATGGAAAAGAGCTAACAGGGTGTAGCATGGCCACATTTGCCTTTTCTCTCAGGAACACTGCAGAGAGCTCGACTGTCGGCTGTTGGAGAAACGGGGACAGTGGCAGTGAGAGATATCCAGGCTAGACGTGGCCCTGAGTCCAGGGGCTAGTCTGACTCTCAGTGAAAACTCAAAGATGATGCCAAGTCTCAACTCTAGTGGGGTCCCTGGCTTAGGCTCTGGCACTGTCTCTGTGCCTAACCCAGATGTGGCCCTTGTTCCTATCTTGAATATACCCTTGAGTTCTGGCTTGGCTCTTATTCCAGACCTTGACCCAGCTCTGAGTCCTGATACAGGGGAAGCCCCTGGCCTTGTGTCTGATAACACTCCCAGACCTGGAGACACAAGAACCCTGGTTCCAGACTCCCTCCAGACCTTCAGTTCCTATTCTGGTGATCCCCTGGCTCTGGATTCTAATCACATCTCAAAGCCTGACTCCCATGGGACCCTCTGTCCTACCTCAAATCTCATTCTGAACCCTGGCTCTACTGAGGTCCCTGATCTGAGCTTGGGCAACCACTCTGGACCAAATGTCACAGAGACTTTCTCATCCCTATCAAACAAGATTTTTGAATTGGGTCAGAGTAACTCCAATCCTTCCAGGCCAGAATCTAATCTATATATAAGGCCCTATTCAAAAGAGACCTTGGTTATGGGCCATAACATTTCCAGGCCAACCTCAAAAGCACTCCTTGTTCCAGCCTTAAGCACTTCTCTGGATTCTGACTCAGGAAATGTGTCTAAGCTGAACCTGGATGCTGTTCCAGGGACCCCTATCTCAGACACAAGCGAGGCCATCACTTTGACTTCCCACAACACCTCTGTGTCTGTTTCTAATGGAGCCTTGGATGCAATCTGGAAGACGAGCTCCAGGGGCACTATCAACATGGTTTCAAATGACAATCCGAGATCTCAGGGGAACATGACCCTCACTAAGACTTCGTGTGTAACCCTGAATCCCAGCTCCAATGATGGTATCAGTCTACACTCCAGCATCCATGGACCCAACTCTGTTCTCTCACCAACCTCGTTCATGACCCTGGTCCTGGACTCCAAAGAGACCCTAAGCACTGGCTCCAGCCTCATCTTTAGTGACACCTCCACCTTGACATTAAGCAGCCAGCAGGATTATTCTGAGGACAGCAGCGTTTGCACCATACCCCTGGATGGAAGTTTGGATAGCCAGAGTGAGGTGGCCAGTGTCAAGGTGGGCAAGTTCCCATTGAGCTTTTCCACCTCTGATACCAAGGACAAGGACACCACTGTCTTCCAAAACATCCCTGAGGGTAAGTAAGGCAAAGGGAAATGCCCCAGAGAGGTCACTGACCTACAAGAAGTTGGCATTCAGATCTATGGGGCAAGGAGGGAAGAGGACATGTCTCATATATACAACCTGCAGTACAGTAGTTCATATACACAAAAATCTGGTACTCAGCCTCTGCTAGCTGTGTGGCTTGGGACAAGCAACTTCATCTTGTTGAACTTCAATTTCCTTAACTGTCATGTTTCCATAAAATACTTCTTTCCAAATAATAAGTCTATTAACTAATGACCTTCCATTCAAGATTTCTTTATCGATAAATTTTAGACCTTGGCTTTCCAGGCCAAAGTTTTCACCAATGCAGCCGACAGACTCTAGACTCTGCTCACCTCTGTTGAGTCTTCAAGGTCCCCACCTGAGTGGGGCCTTGGGGTCCTGTCTGGAACCTGCACCTCACTCCTGATATGCAGGAATTCTGTAAATTAACCTCTGTCAGTTTATGATATAAATATCTTCTTTCAATGTACTTTTGCTTGTTTGTCCTCCAACATCACGTTATGATGCTTCAAAAATTACTAAGGCTTTGTAATATGTATTCATATCTGGTAGAGGGAGAATCCCTCTTTAAAACTCTTTCCCAAAATTGACTTAGCTATTAGTCCAAATACATTTTAGAATAAGTTTGTCTAGTCCCTCAACAGTAGACAATGGCATTTTTATTGGAATGTTATTAATTTACACATTTATTCAAGTTTTCCTTTATAAAGGCTATATCATTTATTAGAATTAAAAATAATTATTCATAAAGTTATCTAGTGATAGATTAATTCCTAGATTGTTTATAGTTTTTATTGCTATCATGAATCATATCTTATTTGCTAATATAATTACTATCTGATGCTGATGAAGAGGAACTTTATTTCTGTATGTTGATCTTTTCCTTTTTAATAGCTTTAAATCATCCTGTTGGCATCGGTCATAGCCGACTCATCCTATAGGACAGAATAGAACTGCCCCACAGTGCTTCGAAGGCTATAATTCTTTATGGAAGTAGACTGATGTTATCTTTCTCCCATAGAGGGGTTGGTGGGTTCAGTCAACCTTAGGGTTTGCAACTGAGGGCTTAATCTCTGTGCCTCCATGGCTCCTTTTAACAGTTTCATTGTTGTTAAGTTCCATTGAGTCGATTCCAACTCACAGTGACCCTATGTATAATAGAACAAAACATTGTTCTGCACCATGCTCATAATCATTGCTATGTTTGAGCCCATTGTTGCAGCCACTGTGCCAATCTATCTCATTAAAAGTCTTCCTTTCTTTTTCATTCCAATAATAGATTGGCTTATAAAATAAACAATATCACCCATGAATACTGTGCTCCCTTAAATGAACAACTGTATCTGACTAAACAGTCAACATTTAGTCTAAACAAAGATGAGAAGTTAAGGAGGGGCAGGTAAGTTAGATTATTGGAAACAGAAGAAAAAAACTGGAAATAACAAGAGTGTTGACACATTATGAAAAACGTAAACAATGTTATGGAACAAGTTGTGTAGACATTGTTAAATGAGAATCGAATTTGCTATGTAAACTTTCACCTAAAACACAGTAAAATATTTTTTCTTAAATAAGTGAAAAAAAAAAAAAAGGATTCCTCTTTTTCACTAAGCCTCAACATTAACCAAGCATGGTGTCTTTCTCCAGTGGTTTGTCCCTCCTGATGACATATTCAAAATAAGCAAGATAAAGTCTCACCATTCTTGCTTCAAGGAGCATTCTGGCTGTACTTCCTCTAAGACAAATTTATTATGGTAGATTTGTAGTTAAGTCCTGGAATAAAGTAGTGTAAATTCTCCAACTTTGTACTTCCTTTTTAAAGTTATTTTTGCTATTCTAGATCCTTTGATTTATCACATGAAATTTAAAATTGGTTTGTCAATTTCAACAAGAGGCCTGGGATTTTGAGTGGGACTGTACTGACTAACCAAGTTAGAGAAAAACTGACATATAGTATTCCTTTGATTTATTAACTTAGTATATCTATTTATTTAGGTCTTTTTTAATTTATCTCAGCAATGTTTTATTGTTTTTAGCTTATGGATCTTGCACATCTTTTGTCAGATTTATCCCTAAGAATTTTTTTGGTTAATCTTTTTTTGAATATTTTATTGTGTCTTAGGTAAAAGTTTACACAGCAAATCAGATTCTCATTCAACAATTCATACATATATTGTTCTGTGACATTGGTTATAGTGTGACACAATACAATGTGTCAGCACCCTCACCATTTCTACCTTGCCTGCCCCATTTCCATCAATCCAGTTTCCCTGTCCCTTGTTGCCTTCTCATCTTTACTTTTGTGTAAATGTTGACAAGTTGGTCTTGTATAGTTGATTGTTTAAAGAAGCACATTCCTCACGGGTATTATTGTTTATTTTATAGACCAATCTATTATTGGGCAGAAATGTGACCTCTGGGAGTGGCTTCAATTCCAGGTTAAAAGAGGATCTCAGGGCAATCGTCTCAGGGGTTCCTTTAGTCTCTATCAGACCAATAAGTCTGGTCTTTTTTTCAAGAACATGAATTTTGTTCTACATTTTCCTACCATTCTATCCATGACCTTCAACTGTGTCTGAATAGTCAGTAGTGGTAGCTAGAAGCCATCTAGTTTTTTTTTTTTTTTGTCTCAGGCTGAAGAGGCTGTGGTTCATGTAGACCATCTAAGAATTTTTTGATGCTATTGTAATTGCTTTTTATTTTTAAATTTCAATTTCTGATTATTTGTTGCTAGTATATAGAAATACAATTGATTTTTATATATTGATAATGAATCCTACAATCTTGCTAAACTACTTCCAGTATTTTTTTTTTTCAAACTTCATAGGAATTTCTACATAGACAATCATGTTGTTCTGTGAATAAGAGTTTTACTTCTCCCTTTCCAATCTCATTGTCTTTATTTCTTCTTCTTGTCTCATTGCACTGGCTAGCACTGCAAATGCAATATTGAATAGAAATGGTGAGAGCAGACATTCTTGCTGTGTTTTTGATCTTATGAGGGAAAGCATTTAGTTGTTCAACACTAAGTACATTGTTGGTTGTAAGTTTTGTGTAACCCTTTTTAGAGAACTTCTGGCTTTGTGCTTTTCTTTATTATATCTAGCCTTTCCATTTTATTAAATTCTGCTCTTTAATTTTTCTTTCTTACTATTTTCTTTATCATTTTTTTTTCTTACTTCTTGACATAATGCTTAGACCATAGATATCTTCTTTTCTAAACTATCCATTTAAGGCCATAAATTTTCCTCAAGGTATGACTTTAGTAAATCCTACACATTTTGGTAAGTTTCAGTTTTATTATCATTCAGTTCAAAATACTCCCTCATTTCCTATGGTGATTTCTCCTTTGATACATGGGTTATTTAGAAGTGAGTGCTTAATTTCTAAACGTTTGGGGATTTTTTAGATGTTTTTTCTGTTATTGAGTTCTAGTTTAATTCCACTGTGGTCACAGAACCTAGTCTATATGATTTAAAACTTCTGAAATTTGATAAACTTTGTTCATGGTCCAGCATATGTGAATTTTAGTAAAGGTTCCATTGCATTTGAAAAGAATATGAATTATTTAGGATACGGTGTCATGTTGTATATATTTCAATCAGGTCAATTTTGTTTTACAACCTATCTATCTGTCTATATCTGGAGCTCTGGTGGCATAGTGGATAAGGCATTTGGCTGCTAACCAGAAAGGCAGTGATTCAAACCCACCAGCTTCTCCGCAGAAGGAAGATGGGCAATCTACTTCTGTAAAGATTTACAGCCTCAGAAACCCAATGGGAGTTGCTATTAGTTGGAATCAACTCAATGGCAGTGAGTCTGGTTTTTTGGTATGTATCTATATATCTATTTCTATCCCTATATCTATATCTATCTATCTATATCTATATCTATCTATCTATAATGAAATCTCTAGAAATCCCCTTTGGGATTGGTATGCAGTAGGTTTACTTCTGGTGTCCCCTTTTAGTAGAGGGATGGCCTTTTGGGGTCTCAAATTTACATATATTTAACATGTCTTCCTTCCTAGTCATCAAGCTCCATTAGAACTAGGATTCTGTCTGTTCTATTTACCCCTGACTCTCCAGTACTTAGCACAATGGCTGGACATTAAAAATTAGTTAATTCAACAGATATTCCGGAGTGCTAAGCAGGGGTGATGTGATTTGATTTACACATTAAGAATCATTTGGGGGGCAGAAGATAAAGCCCAGTACCCACCAAGTCTAATAAAAGACTCTCTCCATAAAGTCGGGATTCTTCAGTTCAAGGATATCACTTTTGTTGTTGTTGCAAAAGATTTAAATCCAACCCAAAGTTGCTCAAGCAAAACAAGACTAAAAAGTCCAGGGGTAGAGTTAGCTATACCCAACAACCCATTGCCATCAAGTCAATTCCAACTCATAACTACCCCCATTGGGTTTCCAAGGCTGTAAATCTTACCTCCTATGGAGTGGCTGGTGGGTTTGAACCACCATCTTTCTGGTTAACAGTCAAATGCCTTATCCACTATGCCACTGGAGCTCCTTAGAGCTAGTTATAAGCAGGACTAATCCAAAAGTTCAAATAATATGAGAAATCTCTGTTATCTTTCATCTCTGCTTTTCTCTCTATTGGCTCCATCTTACATGGCATCTTCTAGTGTCCGAGATGCCCTAAAGCTCTAGGGCTTTGTGACTGTGATCTCAGAAGGAGAGAGGCTGTTTCCCTTGATGTTGCCTTGGGCTCCCTTAAAGGGGCTCTATTGGCCCTGCCCAGCCAAATGCCCAGCCCTGGAACAGCCCCTGTGTCTGGGGGCACAGGACACTCAGATTGGCCAAGCTCAGCTTTCAGGCCACCTCTATTTGAAGAGGCGCTGAGAGGTAGGAGTTGCAGAATTCAGCTTCACCTAGTTACATGGAATGGGCAACCTTCAGGAAAGAGGGATTCTTTAACCTAAAGAAAAGTGAGGGGGTTTAGGGCTGACAAAACAGCAGACATCTACTATAACAAATAAATGTTTAATTATAAATTGTGATAACTGTGGAAAGAATAGATGGTGCACAAAAGGGTGAAGGAGGGCCGTCATGTAGTCTAAGGGTTCAGGGAAGCCTCTCTGAGGAGAGCAGGTGAGCAGAGACTGAAGGAGGGGACCCTCGCTGGGCAAAGGGATGAAACAGGGGAGCAACCCAGGCAAAGGAAACCACACGTACAAAGGGCCTGAGCAGGGCGGGGCGGGCTGGGGGAGTTTTCTGGGGACTGCAAGGAGGCTGGTGTGATCAGAGCATGGTGAAGGAGGAGATAATGGAGGGGGGTAGGGACAGGGATGAGAGAGGGGGGGCACCCACTCTGCAGGGACTTGAAGGCTCTGACAAGAATGCTGGCTTTATGCTCAGCAAATTGGGGCACCACTGAAGGGTTTTAAGGAGAACCAAAAGAACAAAACAAAACACAAACCCACTGTTATCAAGTCAGGCTGCAAAGCTTTATGGAAGTATATTCCTTCATCTTGCTCCCATGGAGCAGCTAGAGGGTTTGAACCACCAACCTCCTGGTTGGCAGCCAAATGCCTTACCCATTATGCCACTAAAGCTCCTTTTAAGGAGGACAGGTGATATGAGCTCATTTATACTTTTAAAAGCTCTCTTTGGGTACTGTGGAAGTCAGGATTGGAGGGGGCCCTGCACAAAGGAGGGGAGAGGAGACTATGCACCCCATATCTTTACCCTTCCTCTTTCTCCTCATGGAAACTGTGACATACAGGAGTCTTTGATGAAGTGCCCTCATGCCTGGTGAAGATGCCTGGAGAGGATGGCAGCAACATGGTACGCCTCCCGCTCAACCCCCAGCTGGCTTTCCTAGGGAAACCCCTCAGCTCTCTCCCCAACCTGCCATTCCCTGCCCTGCTGCCCAGCTTTTCATTCCTCCATTGTACTCACCGCTATCGGATACACTATATGCTCTCTTTATTCAGACTTCTTTATTTATAGTCTCTCCACTCTAGAATGTAACCTCCATAATGACAAGGGTTTTTGTCCACCTTGTTCACAGCTCTATCCCCATCATCTAGAACAGAGCCTGACATACAGTAGCTGCTCAATAAAGTTTTTCTAATGACTGAATGAATTGTGGGAGGGGCCCTGAAAGGGGTAGAAAGATTGGATATGGCCTTTTTCAGGGCACAGTCAGGGCCAACCCAGGTCTTGGCCACACAACAGGTTGCAAGAGGCCAGAGAAGGCCAATCCAGCAGGGGAAATGCAACGTGGTGAGGGCCAGTGGAAGCATACTTGATGGCAGGTGGCCATGACTATGACATACAGAGTGCGGGCAAGGCTGAAAGGTGGACAGAGTTTGGAGACAGGGAATCCACCCAGGCCAGTACTTAAGGGAGCCTAGAAGGACAGCCAGCACCAGGGGAGTCAGCGGGAGGGAGACTCTAGCCCCAGTCACTGGGGAAGTGCAGTGTAGGAGGTGTGGGGAGGGTGAAAGAAGAGGCCTTGCCTTAGGGAGCTCTGGTAGCATAGTGGCTAAGACACTTGCCTGCTAACCAGAAGGCTGGCAGTTCAAACCCACCAGCCACTCCTCGGAAGGAAGGTTGGGCAATCCTACTTCCGTAGTGATACTGCCTCGGAAACCCAAGGAGGGGTCGCTATGAGTCAGGTTTGACTCGACGGCAAACAATCCTCATCCTGTGACTTTTCCCTGTTGCCAGTCTCACTATCTCCACACCTGCCTTCTTTCTGTTTCTCCCAGTGCCAAGCTAATTCCTGTCTCAGGGCCTTTGCATTTGCTATTTATTTTGCCAAGAAGTTTCTTCTCATCTATAAAACGGGTGCAATAAAGTTGAAGTGAGGCCTGTGTTAGGTAATGTATGCACAGCATTGAGCATGCTGCCTGCACAAAGAGAGTTTATTCAGTCATTTAGCAAGTTTTTATTGAGCCACTAGTATGTGCTACGCACTCTTTAGGTATTAAGGATACAATAGTGAACTGATACTCTAGTTTGGGCAGACTTTCCTCCTACTTCTTTGTATGGCTCTCTCTTCCTTGTCATTGGGGATCCAGCCCAAATGTTACCTCCTCTGACAGGCCTTTCCTGACCATTTGGTCTAAATTAGCCATTTCTCCATCACTCTCACTGTTTAATTATCACTACCTGAAAACTCAGAGGCTTAAAAGCATGGACTTAAAAAAACTGGACTCACTTGCCATCAAGTTGATTCTGACTCAGAACTCCCACTGAGTTTCCAAGGCTGTAAACCTTTATGGAAGCAGATTGCCTTATCTTTCTTCCACAGAGCAGCCAGTGGGTTTGAACCACCAACCTTTTGGTTAGCAGCCAAATGCCTTAACCACTCCAACACCAGAGCTCCTTGGAAAGTATGGATTAGAAGGGCCCAGTTTTTCACAGTTCTGAGGTTGGACTGGATTCAGCTGGGTGGTTCTTCTGCTCCATGTAGTGTAGACTGGGATCATTGTTGGGGGCCAGAACATCCAAGATAACTCTTCATCACTCAGGGCCTCTCTCCACATAGTCTCTTATTACTCCATAGTCTAACTGGGACTTCCTTAGAGCATGGCAGCCGAGTTTCAGAGGGAAAAGGAGAAATCTACCAGTTGCCAGTTCCCTTAAGGGCTAGACCAGGAACTGGCACAGCATCACTTCTATAGCATTCTATTGGTCAACGGTAATTGTAAGATGAATCCTAATTTAAGAGAAGAGTAAATAGACCAGATCTCTTGATAGGAGAAACAGGAAAGAACTTGTGGTCATCGTTAACCCACCACTCTCTCCATAAGATGAGCTTCTTTTGTTATCTTTACTCAAAGTTATTTTATTTTGCTTCTGCTTTAAGATAATGGGAACTCATAGGTAAACAGCCATCAGGCAATATGATCCCTCTCTCAGGTAACAGAATGCCTTAACCTGACCAGTGTGTATTAGAAGGCCCTTAAGAGTAATACTGGTGGCTTAGTGCCTAAGGCATTTGACTGTTAACCAGAAGGCTGGTGGTTCAAACTCACCAGCCACTCCTCAGAAGGAAGATTGGGAAATCTACTTCTGTAATGATACTGCCTCAGAAACCCAAGAAGGGGTTGCTATGAGTTTGATCAGACACGACAGCAGTGTGTTGTGTTTGTTGGTTGTAAGAAGTAATCCTAATGGTAGAATTTCAGGTTGAGGTGTTGGGACCCTTCCTGTCTCACCAGCTCCTCTCTCTTTCCTCCCTTGGTTTATTGGAGGTGGAAGAATGCTTTTCAGCCTCCAACACCTGGTCCTCCTCCAAATGCTGACCTTGAGAGATTATCCTCCTCCACCCCACCCCCTGCAACTGTAATCTCAAATCTTCACCCCATCCCAAGATCCCCTCGTGAGTCATTATTTCTCCTGAGCTGGTGCAGGTGGCTGGCAGCTGGAGAGGAGCAGGTGAAAGTATTAGATGGTTCATGGGTTGTGCATCAGCAACCCCTGAGGCTTAGGTTTATAGGGGTGCTCACCCTGTGGCTTTGCCCTCTGCTGTCCCCAAGGTCGAGAATGTCATCACTCTCCAGAAGAGTCAGAATCTGTTGGAATCAGAAGGAGAGAAGAAGATTGTAATGAAGAAGATGATGGTGCGGAAGTCACATCCGGGTCTGTGGCACTGGGGTGGGGAGGGGGCGGAAGGCCTGAGGCTGCCCACTGAGGAGACAGGGGGCTGAGGTGGGCAGAAGACAGAATGAGGTGGTGGGACACCTGGGCTTGAGTCTCAGCTCCACCTCTAACTTCCTGAGGGAGCTTGGACAAGTCATTTCCTTTTTCTGAGCCTTGCTCTCCTCACCTCACAAATGGGTGCAATGACAACTGTATCTCTGGGTTGTTGGGAGGACACAACCCAATGGTTAGTTAATTGGAAAGCCCTATGCAACTGGGAACAGTTATTACTACTTAATACATTCTTTTCCCAGAAATTCCCCCTGGTGAGGAATGTCAGAGAGTTTCCTCACCATATTTTTCCCCCCACCACTTTGCTAAACAAGTCACTTCTCAGTCATCTGCCAGAATGGGTTGTAGCAATGGTCGCTGATGTTTTAGAAACTATATTCAAATTCCCTTAAAAAGAGAAAACAATCTGCCCTTTGCATCTTCATTTAACTAACATTAATTGAGTACCTACTGTGTGCAGGTACTAGATTAAAAGTGGAAGTGAGAAGTAATTAGTAGGATGTTTTAAAGGAATTCAACCAGATAACTATTAAAGGCCTTCTATGATGCTTTTTGGTCAAGCCCATCCATGCTTTAAATATGCCTCTCTGCTGAGGCTGCTGACACAATTCTTGTTGAGCCCTACATGTGTGGTACAGCTGGTTAGGATGTAATGTTTTGGGTGGCCTTGAAGTGAGGGCCCAGGATGGGTTTGAGCAGTGCATGGGCTCTCCAGCTCCTGGAGGCTGGGCAGGGTATGACACTGGTGGGAGAGTTCTGTGCAGGTCGAGGGGCTGCATGGCTTGCTCCCTGTGAGGTCCAGAGCAGTCCTGTGTCCCCTCATCAGCCCCTTTGGGGTCCCCTCTCCAGAGACAGATCCAGGAGGAGCCGCTGGATTCCCTCTCAAGCTCTGTCCGCCGGCAGGCCATGGAGACCCTGACCCAGCTGAGGTGTTCATGATGCTGCCACCCCTTCCCTCCCTGCCCCACATGGTGCTCTCACCACCCCTAGCCTTTTCCTCTCCCTCACCCAGTCCTTGTCAGGGCTGTCTGACATCCACACCCAACTTCCCTCTCTGTCCCCACCTCTTTTGTGGAGTCTGAATCTCAGGCTACCCTCATCCCAGCCCTTAGCTTCCTTTTCTCCAACAACAGGGCCTACTCTCTCACTTGATGCCTTTGCTTCCTGTCTCTTTGCCAGTCACAGGCAGCCAGTCCTTGGGGTGCGAGAGAAGTCAGAGCTGGTGAATGCATGCGTGAAGAGCGTGTTCTCCCTGCCTTCCATGCAGGCCATGCAGGAGAAAGATGAGGCCAAGGCTGAGGCCACACAGGTGAGGCAAAGCCCATTCTCCCAGGTGCATCCTCAGGGCTGTCCACTTACCGTCCTTACACTGAGGTGTGTTTCTGGACACCCCCCCCCCACCAGGACAGAGAAGCAGAAAGACATTCCAGGGGGTCGACCTGGAACTTCACCCATTAGCTGCGTGGCTTTGGCAATTCTCCTCACCTCTTGGCCTGAGCCAAGATGCTCAATGGATACTTGGTCAATGAGTGAATCCTCAGAACAAGGGGACCCTTATCTGGAGGGCCCAGTCCACTTCTGGGCAGATGTTGGCATGGTTAAAGAGGTAGCCAGGATTTGGGGATGGATGGACTAAGGACTGAGCCATAACAAAGAAAGATTAGGGGAGTTGGGAGTGAGGTTTGGAGAAAAGGAAACTCAAGAAGCTTGTGTGAGCATCTTCAAACCATTGAGGGTTATCCTGAGTGGAGCAGGCAGAAGTGACCCTTAGGATTAGGGAAGAGCTCAGGACTATGGGAGGTTAAAGAAGAGGGGGTTCAGCTCAGGTAAGGCACATTCATTCTTTCTTTTTTCAGCTGATGTTAACTGAGTGCCTACTGAATGCCAAACTCAGTAAGGGGGTGGGGAGGAGGGAAGTAGAAGTTACTAAAGACTCATACAAATAAACGCAAAATTACAACAGTGATAAATGCTGCAAATAACAAGTACTTGGTGGTGTAGTGCCTAAGGCATTTGACTGCCAACCAGAAGGCTGGTGGTTCAAACCCACCAGCGACTCCTCAGAAGGAAGGTTGGGCAATCTACTTCTGTAGTGATACCTCCTCGAAAACCAAGGAAGGGTCGCTATGAGTCAGATCTGACTCAACGACAGTGAGTTTTTTTTTTTTTTTTGGTACTGTAAAAAGGATCCCTGGTGGTACAGTGGTTAAGTGCGTAACTGCTAACTGAAAGGTCAGCTGTTTGACACTAGCCACTCATGGGAGAAAGATGAGGCAGTCTGCTTCCATAAAAATTACAACCTTGGGAAGCTTCTGGGTAGTTCTACTCTGCCCTATAGGGTTGATTTGATAGCAATGGGTTTGGTGGTGTTGTAAAAATCCTGCAGTGGGGGCACATTTTATGAGGGGTCATAAAGGTGAGCTGAGAGGCTAAGGAAGAGTTACTTAGAAGGAGGTGGCAAAAGGAGGAGCATTCCAGGCAGAGGGAACAGCCTGTGTGAGAACCTGTGGACAGAGAGAACATGGTGACTGCAGGATGACAAAAAGGCAGTGTGGCTGGAGCCCAGAGGACAAGGGCAAGAGTGATGGGAAGTGAGGTTAGAGAGTAACTGGAGGTCTGGCCATGAAGACAATTTGAAAGTTTTCAGTCCTAATGGAGCTGTTCTGAGAAACTCAAAGATCCTTTCTGGATGAGAAGAGAGGGTGGCCATCTTGTAGTACCAGAAATGGTCGGCAGAGGTCAGTGCTGCACAGCAATTAGTGGCACATGGCGGGGAAGGAGGAGGTAGTTGGCAGGTGAGGCTTGCTTGGTGGTTGTGGTAGAATCCTGAGAACCACTGGTTCCTGGTGGTAGTGAGGCCCAAAAAGCCTGGACATTGACATCGTGGGGGACGGACTCGGAGAACCTAGAAGAGAAGAGGAGGCAAGGAAGAGAGGGTCTTTCAAGCCTGTGTACATGTAATGCCTATACCTTCTTAAGACAATTCCAGAACTGTGGTGTGGTCAATGGAATGAGGAACCTGGAACCTCAAGGGAGGGATGGCTTCCTTGAGGGGACCCACTTGGAAAATCTCTTTGGATCTAGGAGTAGAAATTCAGAAAAGAATCAGAGCGCTTTCCCACAGTCAGTAATAGAGATAAGGTTGGCCCTTTTATTTATCTAGCTCTTATAATTCTAGAGCATGTTCCCATTCATCCTCTCATTTGTTCCTCAAGACTTGAAACTTCCTTGCTGTGTGACCTTGGGCAAGTGTTTACTCGTTTGTAAAATGAGAAAACAACATGAAGACAAAGTGATATTGTTGTAACACTCTCTAGGTACTCACCTGGCGCACACACAGCAGATTCCCAGCAAATGCTCAGTCTCTCTTCCTCCCCCTTTAGAACAGGAAAACCAAGCTAACCCACACCCACTGTTATCCAGTCAATTACAACTCACAGTGACTACTTTAGAACAGAGTAGAACTGCCCCATAGGGTTTCCAAGGCTGTAAATCTTTATGGAAGCAGACTGCCTCATAGTTCTTCCATAGAGGAGCTGGTGGGTTTGAACCACTGACCTTTTGATTAGCAGCCAAATGCTTTAACCACTACACCACCAGAGCTCCTTTAGAGTAGGAAGGGCAGGGCTAGATATTACCAATTTGCTAATAAAGAAATTGTAACATGTGGAAGTAATTTGCCCAGTATCACCCATTAAGTTAGTTTCTGAGACAGGGCTAGGAAGGAGCTCACCTGCGTCTGAGTGCCCCCTTTTCCTCTGACTTATGCCTAGGGCTGGAGTCTGCCCCTGAAAACCCTTAGTGACTTGGTCCTCCTCCTGTCCACAGGTACTTTACCATCAGACCTTGGATGCCCTGAAGGCATTGCTCAATGCCCTCCTTATTGAAGACCCCACTCCTGCTGGACTGAAGAGCATCTTGGAGGTATGGGATAGGGAGGAGTGGGGACAGGGAGAGTGGGATTGACTTAGGAATAGTGGGGTGGCTGGACCCTGGAAGGAGTGATTTGACTTCAGGAGGTCACCTTGTGCTAGTGCTCTGCTTCCCTGTCCCACTCACAGCCTTGTCCCAGGCCTACATCCCTTCACTCTCCACCTCCCATCTTCCTGCTATGGATGTCCTCATCTTCTCTTCTTGCACCACTCTATCTCTTTCTTACATCTGCATGACCTTGTACCTCTCAACTTTCCTCATTGACCCCCTTCTTCCTTCCTGGTTGTCAGTCCTGTTCTCAGCCTCCCCTAATCTGAGGAAAGGATGAAGGCTGTAGTGTCCTACCTTCACACACTCCTGGAAGCTTCCTGCTGATTGGCGAAGGCTGGCCTGTCTGGCCTGGCCGCAGGGGCTGGCATCCAGCCTGCACCTCTGAGTCCTGCCCTTATTGTTCCCACAGCCCCTGGGGCCCTGGATGAACTCTGGGAAAGCCCATGAGCGAGCACGGGCTGTTAACACCACTGTCTCCTTGTTGAACCACACCGTTCTGATCCCGCCTTTCTTTGTGAGTGGGCCCTGGGAGGGGTGGGCACTCCTGGGGAGAATCCGCCAAGCTCTGAGGGTGCTGTACATCTATCCAGGGATTTCTAGGTGGCCCTTACCATCCATCTGCTATCAGGGCCAGACCATTCAGCTATGTTCACTATTTACTATATAACATTCTTGAACCTGTAAGACTCAATCTCTAAGATTCTGACACAAATAGATGTCCTCGGGGTTCCCGGCACTGGGGCTTCTGCTGGGGAGACTCATCCTTCGCATCGGGGATCCTGACGAGGACATTGGCCGGGAAGCTCTGGACGGCATCATCATCCTTTATACCATCCTGGAGCTCCAAAAGCGTAAGCCCCATTAAAGTGCTTCCAAAGCAAGTCTTCTCAATAGATGCCCAGCATGAGAACTAGGGGAACGGCAGTCTGGGGCCTTGGGTCATGTAGGGCCTTGGACAACTGGCGTGAAGTCTTTGTCACCCAGAACCAGAAACAGAGCCTATAAACAAATCTATTTTGGTTCAATCAATATTTCTTCTTCCTGAACACTTCTTCATCCTTCCAAGCTTTATTTGTGACTCTCACCTTCATGTTTCCATGGTATTGTGTATACCAGGACATGATAGGCCACGTGGTATGTTTCTTTGTTGTCCATAACAGGCTTATTAGCCCATTGAGGGTAGAGCAGGGTAGTGTCTTATTCATGGCTGTATTCCCAACTCTGGTGGCATAGTGCCTAAGGCATTCAACTGCTAAACAGAAGGCTGGCAGTTCAAATCCACCAGCCAACTCCTCAGAAGGAAGGTTGGGCAATCCGCTTCCGTAGAGATACCACCTCAGAAACCGAAGGAGGGGTCGCTATGCATCGGATTCGACTGGACGGCAGTGAGTTTGGTTTGGTTTTGGAGCACTGGGACTCGCACATGGTGGTTGCTCAGTGAATGTTTATCAAATGAGTAAATAAAGAACAGGTCTTATCTTAGAATCTGGAGTGGCTGAAACCTGTAATCAGGAGAACATTCCTAGATTTGGTGTCAGGGAGCTGGTGATGCAGCACGGGCTGACAGACACCCAGCCAGCACTACACCCAGAGGTGCCAGTATCAGCTGTTACTTATCTTCATCTTTTCTCCATTGTCCCAATCCTGCCCCAAACCAGGGGACCTTGGCATGTTGTTTAAACTTCACTGGCTCAGGCATAGTGACCTGAGGACAAGACTGACCTCCAGCCCTTCCTAGTTGTGTAACCTCAGGTGGGACACATTGCCTATCTAGGCCTACATCTCCTCAATAGGTATAACTTACAAGCTTTGTGAAAGATTAAATGAGAGCATTAAACCAGCTCAGTGCCTGGCACATTATAGGCACTTGTTACATGGGGTTTCCTTTGTCCCTCTCCTACATAGGACCATCTTATTCATTTCAGCCCATCACACCGGGCTTTGAAGATCTGTCCTGTGTCCCTGCTGTTCTGGATCTCTAGCATTTGGGGCAGAGATTTAGTCCCTGGGAACTGCTCAGGCTTCCTAAGTGATGGGTCAGGGTGGTATAAGCCATGCTATTATTAACCTTGTTGTTGTTGTTATGTGCCGTCAAGTCAGACCCAACTCATAGTGACCCCTCCTTGGGTTTCCAAGGTGGTATCATTATGGAAGCAGATTACCAGATTGCCCAACCTTCCTTCCGAGGAGTGCCTGGTGGGTTTGAACTGCCAGCCTTCTGGTTAGCAGTCAAGTGCCTTAGGCACTATGCTACCAGAGCTCCTATTATTAACCTTAGTGATAGGAATATATAGAGCAGATTAGGGTTGCCAGATTTAGCTCCTGAAAACACAGGACGTCTAGTTAAATTTAAACTTCTGATAAACATATTAGTATATTTGGGACATTTTCACACTAAAAATTATCCATTTATCTGAATTCAAATTTCCCTGGACATCCTGTATTTTATCTTGTAACCTTAGATCAGACCCACTCTGTTAGAATTTCAGGGAGTGATGTAGTTTGTCCAGGGTCTTCTGACTACAGGAAGCAAATCTGTATTTGAACAAGAGTCTGCTAGATTCTAGACTCAAAGCGCCTTCCTTTTAGAAACAAGCTCCACACTTGATCCATAAGATCACTCTGCTTCAATCGCTCTTTCTTGTATCTGTTTTGTATACCCTGAGGGGATCTAGGTAGGACTCAGGCCAGGCCCTGGTAAGAGCTCAGGAAATAGGCCTGAAATGTGTTTCTTTCGGCAGAAAACATGGAGCCCCTGAGTCCCTGGGTAGTGCAAATGGTTACGTGTTCAACTACTAGCCAAAATGAAAAGTTGGCAGTTTAAACCCACCCTGAGGTGCCTCAAAAGACAGGCTTGGCAATCTGCTTCCAAAGGTCACAGCCTTGCAAACCTTATGGAGCAATTCTCCTCAGCACACATGGGTTCGCCATGAGTCAGAATTGACTCAACAGCAACTCCACACATGTGCCAGGTACTGTTTTAGGTACTGGGGACACAGCAGTGAATAAAAGAGATGAATTGGACTAACCTCCCTAGTCAAGCTTGTATTCTTGTCGGCACGAGACAGACAATGAACAAAATAAATGATGATACATATTATAAGTCACATGGTCAAAGTGCTTCAAAAATAAAAGCAATTAAAGGGGAATTGGGATGCCAGGGGGTAGGAGGGTTATAATTTAAAAGGGGCACCATCACTACCTCCCTATTCCCCCAGGAGGTAAGAGATGAAAAAAGGTGGGCAATACCCATTCTGGCAGATATGGAGCAACCAGAACGCTCATGGGCACATCACTGGCTCCCCACTGGGGAAATGGTTCCATAGTATCTCCTGAAGCTGAATACATGCTCACTGAACCACCTAGGAATCCCACTCATAGTTATGTACCTAACAAATGAGTATATATGTTCGCCAAACAACATGCATAGAATGTTCACAGTAACATTATGCATGACAGCTAGGAATAGCCCAAATGCCCATCACAAGTAGACTAGATAAATAAGTGGTGGTGTATTTACTTATGAAATTTATACAGCACTAATAATGAATGAATGAATGCTGCATGCAACAACGTGAATGAATGCTGCATGCAACAACGTAAATGAATCTTACCCACATAATAGAATGGAAGGAGACAGGCACAAAGGACAACATATTGTATGAGTCCATTTATGTAAAGTTCAAATGGAAGCAAAACTCATCTATGGGTACAGAAGTCAGGAGAGTGGTTACCCTGGGTGGGAAGGGGATAGTGACTGGAAGCAGGCACTGGGGGCTTCTGGGGTGCCAGTCATTTTCCAATTCTTACTGGCTATGTGGAACGTTCACTGTGTGCAAATTTACCAAGGGAAAGCTTGAGATTTGTGCACTCCTGGTTTGAAAAAAGATGGTGGCCAGGCCTCACTACATATTCCCTTCTTTTCTCGCAGGAGCCGCAGACAAGGAGGAAACCAACAAGAAGGAGCTCTATGAGAGCAACAAGCGCTTCCTGGGGCCCTACAACCCCGTCAGCCCATGCCAGAACATCCTGCGTGTGATAGCGGTGACTGCCTGCTGCCCATCAGCCTTTCGCCCCAAGTGCCTTATGCCCCCCCCCAGCCCCCTCCTCCTCTAGTCTGTGCCACAACTCCTGGGCCATGACTTTGTTCTCCCTGACAGGTGCGATCCAGTCCTGGGGGCAAGGATCATGTTGCCCCTTCTTCTGTAGCCACCGCCCCGCCCCCCGACACACACACTGATTACTCAAGTGGGTCTGGGCCCATCTGTAGCTGTGTTTGTATGTCTACGTATTGCTCCAGGTGTGTCAGCATCTCTGCACCTTTGTTTCAGGAATTTGGGGACTTCCTGGGACCCCAACAGGTAAAAGACCTGCTGCTAGCAGCCCTAGAAGGGCTGAACGGAGACTCAGAGGCTCTCAGGAAGGACTCGGGGGAGATGATGCAGCTGGCCTCGGAGGTGACGCTCAGCTCAGTGCTGGAGTGGTACCGGCACAGGGCACTGGATGTGGTAAGGCCCCTGGGGGCAGGAGGCTGGTTGTCTCTGGGGCCCAGGAGACCCTACAAGGGCTGCTTGTCACCCTGGACAGCCTACTTATATGTGGTTGTGCTTAGGGGGGGGGTTGTTGGAACCCTCACCAAGCTCTGGGGCAAGGCAAGGTAGGAGGGGGTAGCTGAGTTCTGGGAGCCCCCAACCTGCATATTGCTCCCCACCTCCAAGAGAAAGCAAACTGAGCTGGGGGCAGGAGAGGTGGCTGAGACCAACTGACTCCCCTCAGGGAAGGAGCAGGCCCTGGGCTCGCCTCTCTCCCCTCATTATCTCCCTGCTCTCTCCTCTCCTGCCTCCTGTCATCCTCTCCCATCACTCTTGTCTGTCCTGTCACACCCCTGTCCTTCCTCTTCCCATTTGCCCCATGCCTTTCCCCACACTCCCTTGGCTTCTTTATCTGCCTCCCACACGCTCATGGCTGATGGACTATGCCCCAGATCCCAGAAATCATGCAGGGCATCTACGTGCAGCTGAGCCACATCCAGGAGCCACGGGCCCGTGAGGTGGCCTTGCTGCCCATCTCTTTCCTGGCCAGCTCCTTTATGACTGAGGTCGTTGTGGCCCTGCTCATGTGCCCCCTCCCGCTGGACAGGTACCAAGTGGGCATCTGAGAACCCCTCCTTCTTCTCCCCTGGCCTTCCAAATGGCCCTTCTTCAAGAGCACTGTGGGGGTGTGGGGGGTGGTTTCAGGCACCATGCTGGGCATTTAGTACTTTCTCTAGTTCTCACAACAATCCCATTCTACAGATAAGGAAATTGAGGCTCTGGGGCAGTTTCTTGCCCTAAGTACCCAGTGACCAAGCAACAGAACCAGAATCTAAACTCAGATCTGACTGACTTCAAGCCCAGAGCTCTTTAATGATGCCAGGAAAAGGAGCCCTGAGTGTTGGCTCTGACTTTGCCTCCAACTGCTATGTGATCTTGGGCAACTGCTTGCCCTCTCTGGGCTTCAGTGTTCCTCCACAGTCAAAAGGAGGAAATATCCCTGCAAGCCTACCCTGAAGGAGTGGTCATGACATTAATGCACTCAATAATCCTGAGTGCCTTCCTGGCCTGTGTGGGAGGACATACCATGCTCACATTCTGATGGGCAGCGGGGCAGGGCCAGATGGTAAGCTGTGGGCATGAGACTCTAGCCTCCCAGCCCAGGAAACATTCCCATGTGTTTTGTGAATGAATAAAACATGGAATTTTGTATTGTTGTTGTTAATTGCTGTCAAGTTGATTCTGACTCATGTTGACCCTGTGTGCATCAGAGTAGAACTGCTCCACAGTTTTCTTGGCTGTAATATTGATGGAAGCAGATCACCAGGCAGTGCCGCTGGGTGGGTTTGAACCACCAACCTTTTGGGTAGCAGTTAAGCACAAGTTGTTAGAGTGCAAAAGTGAAAGAATTTGGAGCTCTGGGCAAATGGGGCATATGTCCAATAAGGAGTGGTTAAAGCATTGAGCTGCTAACCAAAAGGTCAGAGGAGAGGTTCAAACTTACCAACTGCTCCATGGGAGAAAGATGAGGCAATCTGCTTCCTTAAAGATTTACAGCCGTGGAAACCCTATGGGCAGTTCTGCTCTGTTCTATAGAGTCACTGTAAGTCAAAACCTACTCAATGGCAGTATACGGTAAGAGCAGTCAGGATGGTGAGGACCAGGCTGGTATACCCACATCCTACTACATGGAAGGATTTAACCCTTGTTGTCTGCACTACCCACCAGGGAGTTTACTTTTTGGGTCCAACTAAACACTGAGATTCACAAGACCAAACTGGGGTACACTTGATACCAGAGTCAGGGCAGTGTCGGGGGCTTCTCTTTACAAGGGTCTTCCCAGGCACCCGTGCTGCAGACCAGGCAGAGCTGGGACTTGGGGTGAAGCAAGCAAGGCACTCAGAGTGCAAAATTTAAGGAGGTACCTAGTAAGGCGCTTTGGTGGCATAGTGGGTAAGGCATTTGCTTGCTATCCAGAAGGTTGGTGGTTCAAACCCATTAGCTGCTCCATGGGAGGAAGATGAGGCCATCTACTTCCATAAAGATTTACAGTCTTAGAAACCCAATGGGGGTCGCTATGAGTCAGGATTGACTTGATAGCACTGGGTTTGGTGTTTTGCGGACAGTACCTAGTGTAAGATCTGGTATATAATAGGTATTTAATAGATAGTGCAAAACAGGCATTCAACTACTGACAGAAAACTTGGTGGTTCGAACTCAGTTAAAGGTACCTTGGAAGACAGGCCTGGCGATCTCCTTAACTTGAAAACCCTGTGTAGTGCGCTTCCACTCTGCATATGTGGGGTCACTATGGGTTATAATTAACTCTATGGCCACTTTTTTTTTTTTTCATTATTTTAAAAAATATATCAGTTTGCTCATGGAAGGAAAGAAGGAGAGAGAGAGAGAGAAGGGAACAAGGGTCAGGGAATTCCCAGGTGCCTAGGCTGCACTTGCAGAAGCCTGAGGGTAAGTGCCTCCTTAACTCTTGAGGCCCAGATGCCTCACTTGCCTCACCCTAATTTTGGCCTTGAGTCCAATAGTTGGTCTCTTGGGCCCCCCAGGTCAAAGCTCAGGTGTGAGGGAGGGAGACTTCTGGGCTGGGTGCAGGAGTTGCCCTGGCTTAACTGGCTCAGGCTTCGTAGGAACCAGTCTCTCTTATAATCACTCCATAGGCTTTGCTTCCAGAGTCCCCACAGGGACAAGCCCAGTTTTAAGAGTCAGTTCACCCTGGGAAGCTCAACACTATAGCGTCCCCACCTGGTTCTTATAGTTAATTTATAGTTCCTTCCAGCCCAGATGCAATTTACCAATGGAATAATTTTTACCATAAGCAATGTTGCCTAGCAACATAGTTGACATACTATCTTTATCAGGTTTCCAGGGGAACAGAGCTAGAAAGTTAATGGAAGGTTCAAATGCTCATGCAGAAGGGGAAAAGGTTTTTGTTAACCCTTTACTGCACTGGCCCATCAGCTCTGCTTCCTGATATAACATGACAAGTGTAAGATCCAGACCGTAGTGCGTTCAGCTGCTTGGATTCTTGCTCCTTGGTGTGGAGGAAAGAGCACAGATTTTGGAGACATTTTAAGGAAAGAAAAAAAAAAAAAAACAGCTGCCGTCGAGTTGATTCTGACTCCCAGCAGCGCCCACATGTGCAGAGTAGAGCCATACAGCACAGGGTTTTCACAGCTGTGACCTTTCTGAAGCAGAACACTGGGCTAACAGTCGAGCTCTTAACCAACTGTGCCATCCAGGGATGGAGACATTGGACCTGGTCCACTTGTGACTCTTGCTCGTCAGCTGTGCAGTCCTGAACTAGTGGCTTCAACTCTCTGAACCTCAATTCCATTTCTGTAAAATGGGAATAGCAACATTCATGTTGGGGGTTGTGCAAACTCAATGACTTTGAATCGCTTGACTGTCTTGTTCATGTCTGTATCCCCAGAGATTTGGCCTAGTGACTTGCATACAGCAAATAATAAATACTTGCTAAGGTAATACATTCTGTGTAAGCACCTGGCATGATTCCTGGGAAATAGAGTTTTCAATAATTATTAGCACCTCGCTTCTTGGGGATTGTTTTCTGGACCTTGCTGGCATGCCCATGGATGTCATTATAATGGCATCTTTTCTTTCCCCTCCCCAAACCATCTGGAGGCAGGGTGGGCCCCATGGCCCTGGCTACCACTAATCACCCTGCCCCTGGCCTCTTAGCAATGGAGCAGAGATGTGGAGGCAGCTGATATTGCGCAAGCCCAGCTGTGATGTCCGAGACCTCCTGGATCTGCTCCTGACCAGCCTGAAGGAAAAGCCTGTCACCAAGAAGGGCCGGGTCTCCATCGTGCCCCTAGCGGTGAGGACCCACTCCCATTTTTGCCCCTTCCTGCCCTTCCTCCCTCTCTCCTTCCTTCTCTCTGCTGAGCTCAACCTACCTCGCTTCAGCTCTGAGTTCCCCAAGCTACCAGTAACTAACAAGTAACCTTAGGCAAGTCTCTGTCTCTGGGCTCCTGTGATCTACTGGACAATAACAGTAGTGCATACAGTGACCGTAGCAGCCTGCAACAGTGGAAACATAAATGGTCTTGAGTCATAGCTCTGACTCTGGTTGTACTATGCTACTGGTTTGTGACCTGGACAAGTTACTTCACCTCTCTGAGGCTGAGTTATGGCATCCATAAATGGAAATAATATCTGCCCTATTTGGTGGTTATGAAGATTAAATAAGATAACTCATTCCTTCACTTCCCACCACTGCCGTCAAGTCAACTCCAACTTATAGCGACCCCACAGGCAATGCAAAATGTTTAAGTACATCTTGCTGCCAGGCTCAAAATTTAGCCCTTGGCTGCCTTTCAGAGGGAAGAGGCAGCTCTGACGCGGGATGCTGGCTGACAGCAGGTGGGGGAGGAGGAAGATCCCAGAAGACAGCAGGTGCCTGATGCAGGTGGACTGGAGAATGAGATTTCTCTCTGCCTCCATCACTGCCGCCCTGGTCCAAGCCAGCTGGATAATACCCCTGCTCTCCACTCATCTTCCTGCTTCCACTCTTACCCCTCCAATCTATACCTGTTGCCGTCAAGTCGATGCTGACTCATGGCCACCCTGTGTGTGCAGAGGAGAACTGCTTCATAGGGTTTGCAAGGCTGTGACCTTTTGGAAGCAGATGTCCAGGTCTTTCTTCTATGGCACCTCTGGGTGTGTTTGAACCAGCAAACTTTTTATTGATAGTTGAGCATTTAATCACTTGAGCCACTCAGAGCTCCTCCCGATCTGTACCACAGCCAAAAAAATCTTTGAGAAATGCACACGTGTTCTCACCCTCCTTCATAGCTTCCCATGGCCCTAGAGAGTAATACAGTCTTCCGCCTGTGCTGCAGGGCCCTGCACCCCTCTCCAGCCTCCCCACACTCACAGTCTTGTGCTTGCGCTGCCTTAGCCTCCCAGGTCTTTGTCAGGACTTCAGGGTCCTCCTGCCACAGGAACTTTGTATGCGCTGTTCTCTCTGCCTAGAAGGTTCTCCACTTACTCAACTTGTACTCATGAATTCTCAGCTCAAGTATCATCTCCTCAGGAAAGTCCTCTCCAATCTCTCTAACCAGGCCAAATCTATATATTACACTTTCCCATGGCACCTACTTCACCTTGAGAGAATTTATCCCAGCTGCAATCTGACACTGTGGGGGATTGTTGGATTAATATGTGAGCTGCGTGAGGACAGGGCCTGTTGTGTTCATCATGATATCCCCAATACTTAGCATTGGACATATAGTAGGCACTCGAAACTTTTTGTTGGGCTGATTTATTTATTCCACAAATACTTATGGAGCACCTACTGTGTGCCAGGTACACTCACAGATTCTGGGAATTCAGTAGAGAGCAAGATATTCTGAGACAGGGGAGAAAATAAACAAATACTGGACAGAGGAGAGAGATGGTGTGATCCCATTTACAGAGGAATGTACTGCTGCTCAGAGATGCTCTATGCCTCACCCAAGGTCACACAGCCAGTGAGTGGTGGTGTCAGGACTCTGATCCAGATTTCTCACCTCCAATTCCTTGTTTCACTGCCCCCACCACTGAGTTCTATGACTAAGACATCAGTATCATTCCCTCCCTGATTTGGGCACTCATCCCCTCCTCCTTCGATCACTATGTGATAGTGTTTTCACAAGTCACTAACTCATGCTTCTTGTTCAACAAGTGTAGTTTAGGCATGGAGACAATCTAAGCTGAATTTTTATCTAAGGTGTTGAGCAGATCCCTGTGGCATGTCACTAGAGACTCTTCTGTACAACATAGATTGTGCTTTTTGGAAATAGTCAGCAGCTTTGGATTCCTGTTTAAGGTGATAGGGCTTTGAGTCCAAGAGGCTTATCTTAACTCTGCCACTGCCTCACTGTATAACCTTGGCCAATCACTTCCCCTGTCCAGCCTTAGCATTTAGATCTATAAAATGGGTGGAAATAATGTCTGCCTTGTCTATCTTACCTAACTGTTGAGAAGAGTGAGACAGTGTATGGGAAATGACTTCTGAAGTAGCAAAGTACAAATAACTGTCATTTGTTGTTCTCATCCAGCCCAGAGTATATTATATTGCTTATTTCCAAGAGAACGTGCCAGAGGTTCTTTCACTCCACAATAAAATGCTTTTCCCTTGAGTCAGCCGCATGGGGCCTTGGTGGCCCAGCTCTTGACCACCGATGGACAGAGCATTCTCACTGCCACATTCTCGTTTGCTCTTCACCACATCTGTGAGGCTGGCTGGGCAAGGATCAGTGCCTCTGCTTTATAGAGAAGTCTGAGGTCCAAAGAAGGGCCAGGGAGTGGTGGAGCCAGAATGAGCCATTATGTCCTATTACCCCAGCCCATCACTTCACGTCCCCCGCTCCCCACACACTGCATTGTTTTCTGCCAGTGAGAGAGACCTTGGTGGGTTGAGTGTTAGAAGTGGGCCTAAGCCAGGGCCAGAGCATGACTGGCAGATGGAGACACTGAAGGGTAAGAGCAAAGTAGGTCCCAGGGAGCACTGTGGGCCAAACTCTAACAAAGTCAAAGTCTGACTTCAAGTTCATGGGGCTTTAGAGCTCTGACATGAGGAGCCAAGTCTGGAATGGGCAAGAGTGGCATGCAGTTATGGAATCCAGGTAGGGTCCCTTCCCTGGCTCCTGCTCAAAGGTTGGGGTTAGTTTCCCTTGATGCTGGCCATGTGGGGGGCAAGGAATTCAATCTAGTTTAATGGCCCTGGGGGAAGAGGCCAGCATGGTGCTCCCACCATCTGCATATCTATGATGTGAATGAAGAAGAAACAGGGAACAGTATAGCCAGTATCTGAAAACCAGAGTGCAAGTCCCAGCTCTTCCCTCAAAGGGCTAGGTGAACTTAAGCAAGTTCCTTTGCTCCTCTGAGACATCTTCCCACCTAAACAAAGAGATCAAGACTCTTTGCCCTTCAGGAGGTGGGAAGGGATCCTCTGCCATGATTCTTTCAAGGTTCCATAGAGGTCAAAGCCCTGGACCAAAGCTACCAGATACCAGTTGCTGTCTAGTTGATTCTGACGCATAATGGCCCCATGTGTGTCAGAGTAGAACTGTGCTCCCTGGGGTTTCCAGTGGTGGATTTTACCAAAGTCTATCACCAGGTCTTTCTTCCAAGGTGTCTCTGGGTGGACTTAAGCCTCCAGTCTTTCAGTAAGCAGCCGTGAATGTTAATCATTGGCTCCACCCAGGGACTCCTAGACTGACGCTCAACAGCAGCTGTTGTTACTGTTTTGAGTAGGACCCACCTAGAGGACACAGGTTTGTGGGGCAATCTGGACTTTCCCAGGCTGGGACAGAGAAGAGCAAAGACATGGGTACAACCTTCCAGAGAGGCGGTCCTGGCCCCAGTTGGGAGTGCTGCAGAGGTGGGCCAGAATGTCCCACCAGCCTCCTCTCTGCTTCCCCAGGCAGCCAGCGGCCTGTGTGAGCTCCTGTCTGTCAACAGCTGTGTGGGCCGCGTGAGGCGCATCTACCCTCAGCTGCTGCTGGCCCTGCTCATTCAGGTTCATTACCACATTGGCCTCAACCTTCCTGGTCGCGTGGCCTCCCGCAAGGACACCAAGAAGGATGCACAGCCCCCTGCCTTTGTGCCTGTCTGGTACGCTCTGTTCATCTTGTTTACCTTGCTGTCCCTAGAGTGGGGACAGCCAGCCACCCAGCAAGGGCCCTTCCAAAAGTCCTTAGAGTGATTAATCAGCAGAAATTAGCTTTGAGACTGGAAGAGAAAACAGAAACAATTTTATTAGTGCCAATAACTCATTCAACAATTGTTTTTGAGTACCTGCTGTGTGTGTCAGACACTGAGCTTAGTACTAAACACGAAAGAATCAGAGTTCCTCTCCCAAAGAGCTCATCATTTAATTTTTCTTTCCTCCCTCCCTCGAGATATTATTTGTATTAGATTTGCATCCAAGGACCTACCCTTTTATTTTCAATTATTAATTATATTGTTGTTGTTGTTAGGTGCCGTGAATCAGTTCTAACTCACAGTGACCCTGTGAATATACCCTTTGGTATATTCAAAGTTTTTTGCCAATGCCATAATTCAAAGGCATCAATTCGTCTTCAGTCTTCCTTATTCGTTGTCCAGCTTTTGCATGCACATGAGGCTATTGAAAATGCACATGAGGCTATTGAAAATACCATGGCTTGGATCAAGAGCACCTTAGTCCTCGAAGTGACATCTTTGCTCTTTTACACTTTAAAGACATCTTTTGAACCTCGGGACCATAGTCACAGGGGACATCAGGCTCAATTGGCATAACATACTACGCAAAACATTGTTCCACCTCCCAATTTGGCGAGTAGCAACTGGGATCTTAAAAGCCTGCAAGGAGCCATCTAGATGCAATGATGGGTCTCTCCTCGTCCAGAGCAAAGAAGAATGAAGAAAACCGAAAATTCATGGAAACAATCAGTCCTGGCGACTGGTACACCATCCAATCTGCAGCCTATACAACTATGAGTCCAGAAGAACTAGATGGTGCCCGGCTACCAAAGCCAACCACTCAGAGGGGCATCTATGTAGGAGACTCTTGATAGAGAGGGAGGACAATGTGGAACAAAACTCAAAAGCATTTGGGAAAAAAAAGGGGGGGGGGACCAGGTTTGCTGGTCCGATAGAGCCTGGTGGAACCACTGAGACTATGGCTCCTAACTGCCCTTCAGGTCTAGAATTGAACCCACACCTGTGGCTTCCAGCCAAGCAAAAGACAGGCATAGGAGTTGAACATTTACCTGAGGTGAATACACTTCTTAGAGAGAACAATCATGGGAGAAAGAAGAGCTGTTTATGCACAGGGAGACAGCTCAGGGGGCAGGGGTACATGGAGGGATGGGCACAGGTAAGAGGTGACTGTCGGGAGGAAGTAGGAGGGAAGCTGTTGCATTGTGGTGAATTGTGGTCAATGTCATGAGAAAAAGTGTGTATGAACTGCTATATGGGAAGTGAATTTGCTCTGTAAATTTTCACCCAAATCACAATTGAAAAAAAAAAAAATGTTCTTTCTACTACAGTAAAAAAAAAAAGTCTTTTGCAGCAGATTTGCCCAATGCAATACATCATTTGATTTCTCAACTGTTGCTTCCACGAATGTCGATTGTGGATCCAAGTAAAATGAAATCCCTGACAACTTCAATCTTTTCTCCATTTATCATGATGTTGCTTATTGGTCCAGTTGTGAGGATTTCTATTTTCTTTGTATTGAGGTGAAATCCACAGTGAAGGCTGCAGTTTTTGATCTTCATCAGTAAGTCCTTCAAGTCATCTTCACTTTCAGCAAGCAAGGTTGTGTCATTTGTATATCACAGCTTGTTAATGAATCTTCCTCCAATCCTGATGGTGCATTCTTCTTCATCTAGTATAGCTTCTCAGATCATTTGCTCAACATACAGATTGAATAACTATGGTGAAAAGATACAACCCTATTTATTTTAATATGCACAGGATAAAACCTTCAAGACAGAAAAGCAAATCTACCCAAACCTCAGTTATCCTCTCCAAAGAGGTGGTATTCTAGTGTCACAGGGCTGCCGTAACAAAATGCCACAGCCTGGTGGCTTATAAGAACAGAAGTTCATTGTTTCACCGATCTGGAGGCTCATACCTGAATTCAGGGCCATGTTCTCTCTGAAAGCTCTAAGGAAAGGTTCTTTCTTGTCTCTCCTAGCTTCTGGTAGCCCCAGGTGTCTTTCAGCTTGCATTCACATGGCCCTCCTCCCCCTGTCTCTCTGTGTCCTTTTTTCTCTTTTATAAGGACACCATTCAGATTGGATTAAGACCCCTTCCCACTCTAGCATGTTGTTGTCATTAGCTGTCATTGAGTTGTCCCCCAACTCATGGTGACTCTATACACGAGAGAGTGAAATGCACTTTGTGATCCATAGAGTTTCACTGGCTGATTTTTGGAAATAGATTTCCAGGTTGGGAGAGGAATGCAAGGATTAACTATTGACCTGTCGCATCTGACTTCGGATTAAAGGAGAAGGAGGAGTCCTACTGGACTAGACACCAGAAACATGGCCATCCAGACTCTGAGCCCTGCAACAGCCACAGGCTTTAAAGCAGTCCTTTGTTGCATTGTTGACTCTGCTCCCCATTCTAGTGGGGGGAAAGAGAATGAGTATTTCAAGATGGCCCTTGTACAATGCTGCAGAGAAAAGCTGAGAGCTTTCTTGAAAGGTCAAGCTTGCAGAGTGGTGTTTGGGGAAGCCATTCTACCACCACAGCCTTCTTCCCAAGGTGCCAGCTCCGCATTTTTTGAGCAGCATGGCATCTCTTTTGGCTGTTACAAGTATATAATTTGAGGGTGAATGAGGGAGAAAGGAAACACATAGGGTCATTTTTTGTTAAAATTTGGAACCTGATTGAGGAAATGAGAAAAGGAGGGATAGGACAAGCTACTAATGAGGCCGTTCTGTGCTCAGAGACTTTTGCCTATATATGTATTCATCATTGGCTGCCCAAATGCAGATAGGGAGGGTCTGTATAAACATTGTGACTGTCTGAAACCTATAAGTCAAGACATTGCCATTGGAGCTCCCAAGCCAGTTAATGAAAAGATGATGAAGACTGTCCTGGAGATGGGGACCCGTGGAGAGAACACACATTCTGTCATAGTTAAAGTTTCTGTTTCTTAAAATTGAAAGGTCTTACTTTTCCAAATGAAAATGTGTAATCGCAGCCATTCAGCCAGTATTAGAAGTTTTAGGGGAGAGGGAAGAGAGTGGAGACAGGAGAGTTGGGGAGGGTGACCCCCCCCCAGGCTATTTGGGTGGGCAATACTTACAGCCTGTTTCTGTGTCTCCTTTTCTTCCTTTTTTCTTTCTTTCTCTTCCTCCCCTCCCTTCCTCCCCCCTTTCTTCCTTTCTTCAACCCTTCCTTCACTTTATCTTTGAACCCTATAGCCATTGCTCACAGGGTTGCAGTAGATTGAGTAGTATCCCTCTAAAAGTCATCTTTACCTGGAACCCATGAATGTGGCCATATTTGAAGACGGTCTTTGCAGATGTATTCAAGTTAAAATGAGGTCGTACTTTAGAGTAGGCACTCAAGTTAATGGTTGGTGCACTCACAAGAAAAAGGAGAAGGAAATTTGGATACAGAGACACAGAAGAAAAACAGGGAAGAAGGCCATGTGACAATAGGGGCCGCGATTGGAGTGATGTAGCTATAAGTATAAGCCAAAGAACACCAAGGATGCAGAGCTTTCAGAAGCTAGGAAGATACTCCTGCAGAATCTTCAAAGGGAGCATGGTCCTGCTGACACCTAGACTTCTAGCCTCCAACACTTGGAGAGAATAAATTTCTGTTGTTGCAAGGTTTTGGTATTTTGTTATGGCAGCACCAGGAAATGAATACAGGTTCTATTGCTGACAGTACATGTTTTAATACATCAACATAAATGTTGAATGAGTCCAAAGCCCTGGCCTCAGGAGAAGTTTGAATTTTCACACTGAGACAAGGAGTGTACAAGTGAGGGGACAGGACTGCCCTCCAAGGCACCCACCCAGCTGCAGGGGTCAACCATGGGCTTGAGAGGAACATCAGATGGCAGTGGTGAGTGAGAGTGAGGCAGGACTGAGACAGCCTGCTGTCCTGAGGAGGCCTGGGTCAGACTTCTTCCTCCAGAAAATCAAGGTTCTGGAGAAATGGAAGAGTGAGAGCAGTTTCCTAAGGGAGGTGAATTTTGCTTCTGTTTACTCTCTTGTTCTCAAAGTGAGTTATTATCTTTTTAAAGCAACCCTTTATGGGTACACTGAACACTCTATCTGACAATTAGCATGGTGGAGAAGCTTGTGGGGTCAGATGGGAACTGATGGTGATAGAGCCCCAGGTGGAGGGGGGCCTGGCCTTCTTGGGGCAGGGTGGCAATGAGGGCTCTGGCCCTGTTGTCTTGGCAGCTGGGTGGTGAAAGTGGTGAAAACCCTGTTGCTAAAGATGGGCTGCTCCTATGAGGCCACCTTTCTGGAGGATCAGGG